AAGAGACTTCAGCCAGGAGAGACAGGCTTACTTGGGGAGCATCTCGGGTCTCCAGAGGCAGATGAGGACCTGTGTTGTGCTCAGCCGTGATTATCTGAGCATCCTGTCATGGTCAGATTTTCTACATCTTCTAGATGTGCTGTGGCATTGCAGTGACATGGAGGAAATGAGAATTTATTATAGCTTGATATTCATAGTGACCCTGACCACTGAGGTTGGTGCAGGATCTGTGCATGCCTGGAACAAATGGTGTGTGGCAGTGGTGGAGAGGGAATTGGAAATGGAGCTCACTAACTGCTCAGTTACAGAACTGCAAACAGCCCATGTTTCCACTCATTAATTGATGGCTTGAATGCCCTAAAGAGAGATTATTTCCAAAACAAGAAGAAGGTAGCTTGAAGTGGATACAATGGTTTCTAGATGTGATTTAGTCCACCCTCTCAATTACTTTTTAATCTGCGTCCAAATTCCCAAGCAGCCTAGTAATTTGTAGTGGTGTTATTAGCAGGTGCCTGCCAGCAAGCAAATTCTAAGCTGTAAAAAAAAATGTTGCTGTTGACAGAAACAGCCCCACAGAGACATATTCATCTGGAACCTGAAGGCAGATTTAGACACTTGAAACATATGGTCTAGCGCTTTTGCCTGAACCAGGCAACAGAAGAGGACTCACCTAATTAAAGATTTACTTTGTTTTTACTTCATTCCCTTTGTCTTTCCATTTTAAAATGATCTGCCCTTTATTCATTCAACAACAGAGGGGTCAAGGCTGAAATCTTAATGAAATTGCTCACAGAGCAAAAAAATACCTGTTGTGTTTGTAAGTGCTGATAGTTCTTAGTCATAGAAGGTTGAACTGAAAGACATCAATGTTAGATTATTTTGTTCACAGTCTGGGTAAAATATGCTTCTCTGTCAGTCCTGTGGTTTTGGAACCCAGAAGCCTGGGAGTTTTGAGCTGTCTGTGCTTTCTGGCACTGACCCCCAGGAGGACACTGCTTTTGACTTGAGACCTTGGAGAAGGCTTCCAAATTTGAGTGATGGAGTTAAAATCACCGGTGTATAGTTGGAATAGAAGTGTGTAATTTCACATGATGAAGGATTTTAGAATATAGTAATAAGTGTGGGACAAGATGGAGGATTTTCGGTGTTGTCTCTTGTTCCTTCTTCTTCCTGATTTCAGGTAGTGGTTTTTTGTTGGATAGAAAATACTGCAGGAGTTTGGTCATTGGGTCAAAAGTAAAAATAATATAGATGTTAGCTTTTAATTGGACTGTTTGCCTTTAAAAGACCTTAAAATGAGCAAGAGAGAGCTCTGTTTTGTCTCTTGTAGTTTGTTAGCTGGAAGTGCTGTAGCACACACTGTACTATAAATAAGAATTAATAAACAACCGAGACAAACACAAAAATCCATCTCTGGTACTTCAATCCTGACTCTGACTTAAGGCAGAGGAAAAAAAGAAAATAGCCACTAATGTGTGGTGCCACTAATACTGTGGTTGCTTCAGTCTTTTTGTTCCTTGAGTTGGCTGGAGTGGGCTCAGGCACGGAATTCTTGTGCTGTTAATATATGATGTGTATATCATTGTTCTTGTTCAATTAACAGGTTGTTCCCTCTGGGTTGCAGAGGTGTTTGTTTAGCAGCAGACTCATTCTGTGAAGTAACTCATTTTCTCAGAGTCAAGTAGGACTTAAATGATGAATATTTTGCAAAAATTTCTTCTGAGTACACTTGTACTTGAACAATTGTATTTTCACCCAACTCATATTTTCCTGTTAGGGTGATACAGATGTGGAAACTGTATTAAAATTTGTTGAAATGTTCCAGTCAGTGTCACCACAACTTCAGTTAAAAGCTTTTTCTCTTTTTTTTCCTTACGGGATTGAGCATAGCTATGAGTCTTGGTTTTTGTCAACAGAAGTGCAGTAAGAGGTTAATAATATCAATGATGATGTCAGTTAATGCAAACATAAAATTAAAGTTAGAGCTGTTTTTGTTTTAGAAATTTTGAAGTCTCCATTACATGGAGCTAAAAAATAAGAAAAAACCACTAGCAGGGTTGACAGTATTGCTCTTTAAGGTATTGCATACTCAGACTAAGAGATTGTAAATAAGAAGGATTTGGAGAACTATAAAGTACATTTTCCAAATCTTCTATAATTACTTTCTTGAGCTTTCATGACAAAAATAAGATGTAAGATGGATATATCTTGTTTTGTTATATCCTTATAATGTTCAATCCAAACTAGTTATATCCATGAAATACAATTAGGACATTTAATCCAGTATATGTCACTTTTTCATTTTATAGAATGTCAGTGAGAAAGGGAAATAAATCCTGACAAAACTCTCTTCTCTCACGTGTCCATCTTTCTGTATCTGTTGGGATTGTTAAAGGGTACAGAAATTCCCCTACGGAAAATTTAGCTGAGCAACAGCAAGGGCTGTGTAGGAGCCAGGATATTCTTATTTTTGTTGAAAAATTTTTCAGCTCTGTTGGCTGTAATGGGTAGGAAGGAAAAAGCTTTCTGCACAAGGTTGTCTTAAACTCTGTTTTGAAAAGGGATTTTGTACCCTCCGGAAATTCAGTGATTGTGCCACCAGGGGAGGGAACAAGGAATGGGAACCCATAAAAATCAATTAAGATTCCTGAGCAGTGCTCTGGGATGAGCCACTGGGGTCCCTCCCAGGCTCACCCACTCTGTGCTTCTGGGAGACCCTTGAGGCTGAAGCATTGATCTCGCAGCACTTTGTGTCCTGGTGGAGGTGAGATCCATCTGAGTTCAGAAAACTTGTGCTTTTATTAATTCATTAATATAGCTATTCCTGAACACAAAAGAAGCCATTTCATGAAAGATTTTTTCTCCCTAGGTTTTGCTGTCTCTGTTCAGAGGTCACAGCTGTGGAATGTAGGACTTTACGATTCTTTTTGTTTCTAATGAGTTTGGTCCTCAGTACTTCTCAGCTAAAAGAAAGGATTCTGTCTGCAGTTCAAAATATTGGAAAATCGGCTTCTCATTGATTACTGCCTCTGTGTGTTGCAATAGATTCCTTTTTCTTCTTTTTTTTTTTTTTAATTAAAGTCCAAATTTTATTTCCTCATACCATCATTTCTTCTTACTTGTTTTTCACCACTTCATTTTCTTTCCTTAAGAAAGAGATTCAAGCACAATTTTCTTTCTTTTTATTAACAGTTCCTATTATCAGCTAAGGTTTGTGCCTCCTCATTTGCCTAGTCTTTCCTCTCCCACTGCTCTCACTGAAACTGATTATTCAAACTTTTCTCTGGACTGTGAAATGTCACAGAACCATTCTTTTTGCCATTTGATGTAAAGCTGATTTAATTTGTCAGCTGACATGTGAGCATTAACCTTTTCCTCCTGTGTTTTAACAGGACTGAATTTACCAAAAACACAGAGAAAATATCAGTGTGCTAGGGATCCTAAAGTAAATCATCCTAAATTAGTCTTCTCTTTGAATTTATATTCACTCAGGAAAGAAATTTACTTTGAAGATATGGGATTATTTCACAGTGGTTGAGTATGTTTTCAGCTTTAATTGACATGACCAGTAGTGATCAACTCTCATCAGGGGCTTCTCTTATTAACAGTTTAGACTTTTTGTGTCTTTGACTCCCTCTTGAAATTTCTCAGTATTAGATTTGACTTTCAGGCTAAGATCTACTTTATGGGATCAGCTGCTTTGGAAGTAGTTAGGGACATTTTTTGCCTCTGTAAAATTATTGTCTAAGGGTATTGGCAGCTAAAACTTCAATTATAACCCTTTAGTGTCTATTTTCTGTAATGTCCTTAGGCTGTGATGATGAACAAATCCTTTTTTAGCCATTTCCATAAACCCAGACTGAAGGCCTAATTCTGTCATGAGTTCTGGCAGCAGTTTTTTCCAGGATGGAAGCTCAGTGTGAGAAGAGTAATCTAGAACTGGAATAAGATGCATCAAGTAAATGCCTTTTAAATGTTTGAGTAACTGTGAACAATGTTAGCTAAGCTGCAGTGAGATTTGTTTCATTCTATATACCAATAGATTATTTCCAACATTGCTATAAAATATAATTATTATTCTGTCTTGCAAACCTTGTACCAGTTGTATGAATTTGTGCAGTATAGAACTTAGAGAAGCTGACTGGAAAGAAGAGATTGAGTCCCCTTGTAATTTTTGCCATTATTGTCTACATGATTATACGCAAGTGAATTTCTTCTTTATTTCAGTATAGTAGTTCCAATATGGAGAGCAGGCTTTTTAATGCTATTGTTTTCTCCTTCAGAGATATAAAAGAGTTCATTAATCAGAATTGAATTTTATTCAGAGATTAAATTTATTAAAATCTTATTATTAAATTCTAATTGAAAATTTTTATAATTTCCTATTAACCTAGCTCCAGTTCCCTTTGAAGACTCCTGCTTCAGTTCTGCCATGATTTTTTTCCATCATCAAAATTTTTATTTTTATTTTTATTTATTTTTAAAGTGCCTCAGTAACTTCCTTTTCCTTTCCCCAAACAAGCTCAAAAAAAAAAAAAAAAAAGAGCTAGCCAGTCAGGCAGAAGAGTGATTTTACTTAACACAAGTCTGAGGCACCTCTTAATCAAGCTAATATATGAGTAGTTACTTCCACATAAGGAAAGTTTTAATAAGTATGTCAGGTGCTATTACATAAAATGCTTTGTAGAAATCCAGATAAACAATAGCTTTATTAAATGGATCTGTAATATTGAAAGGGATTATTCTGCCAGGAAGCAGGATCTTCTCTCCAAAAAATGCAGCTTCATAACATTGATATGTAAAGAATTTTGAATACTCATTTCATCTGAAAATATTTTTTTCTTATGTGAATGGACAATAGAGCAGGGTGTTCATTCTCTCTTCAAGATGTTGTTGCTCTGACTGTAGAATCTATTCTTTGCATGATTGCAGACCTTTCTGCCCATGGGCAATTCCATTTTTCACTTTTCCCTTTCTTTCTTCCCCATGCTGAACGTGGTGGGAGTTTTAGAGAAATGCACTCCTGTGGTTCTCAGCTGCAGGAAGGCCATGAACCAGTTCCATGTGGGTGACTTTCCAGGCATTGCTGTCTTTTCCAGTTAGCTCCTTTTGTATCCCTGCTGCATATGGAATAACATCTCCTGATAAAACCACAGAAGTGGAACAGTGTAGCCATCAAATCAGCAGTGTGTTTTATTGATACATCCAAGTGATAATCAATAGAAACTGATAAAAGCAGAAATGGCAAACCAATCAAATATTTACAGCTTTTGTGTCATTGCCAAATATTTATTTATGTTTTAGTGTTCTAAACTTCTGTGGGTCTCCATGTAATCAGCGAAGAGGGAAGTTATTCATGCATTTCTTTGGATTAATTAATTATCCTGAAGCTATTGTTGCTTTTTAGCAGTGCCATGTTGCAGAGATGCCAGGATGAAATCAATCCACGTGTCCACAGACATCCTGAAATCCTTTATTTAATTCCTGTTTGTGGGAGCTGGTGGAGAATAATCTTTTGGGAAATGAAGCAGTGAAACAGGCACCATGAGGTGAATCCCAGGGTGGCTTGGCTGACATAAAACTTCCATGACTTGCCAGGAAGCTTCTCCCTCTCTGCCTTTTCTCAGAAGGCTGTGAGCATGTTCAGTTGAACACTGCTTCTATCAAATGTATTCATTTCATTTTCTTATAAGTAATCTGTGATTAGCACTCTAGCACCAGCCTTAGAGAGATCAATTAAGCATAGCTCCATCATGGTGTTTTGGTTTTCTGGTTTTTTTTTTGAACCTATAGTTTATCTAACAAGAGGTAGTGAGGGGTGGTTGTTGACAATTTTGTTTTGCAGAGTAAATTGTGAGCACTTTTTTCTTACAAAGTGTTTTCTTCTAGAAGAAAGAATACAGAATGAAGTATTTTTATGTTTTATTGAAGACAATGATAGGGTAATGTTTCTCAGTTCAGTGAGTTTGGGGTTTTTTTTTAAATGGATGTTGTGTATGTAAACCTACACACCTGCTGCAAAATTGCAGAAGTCTTTAAATCATTTACAACCATGTTGATGGCTTGCCAGCCAGAGACATGTTAGTCCTTTACACAAAGGATTTTTCTCCCTTTTCCAATCTTTGTGAAATAAATGTAAGAGTTATGTGCTTTCAAATTGCAGTGTGTGTGTATATATATGCATATATGAATATACATATATATGACAGCCAGTTTAAATTCCAGCTAGAACTGCTGGTTAAAAAGGTGCTCCTTTTGCCATGAGCAAAATGCCAAATTTGTACTTGGTACAATTACCACATAGTTCTCATCATAGCCAGGCATGCAGAGCCCTGCTGCAATGCACAGGAGGCTCAGCTGCCTTGGATCTGTGGTGAAATTCTAGGGAACCCTTGGAAAAGGGGATTCTCCTGATTACTGGGTGTCAGCCTTTCATTATTGCCAGTTTGATTTGCATTTGCTTTTCATTTAATTGGCTCCAGTAATACAACACTGCTATAGAGAAATTGTATTTTTGCCCAAACAAGCTTCCTACTTTTGCTTTCCTTTCATTCAGATAAGTATTTTTTTTATTTTTTTTTTTAAGTTAGCAAATGATAAGGTGCTCAGAGACAAGTATAAATGCAACATTTTATTTTCTGTCTCTTCTTAATGTCAGAATTTAGGGCATATCTACCAGGTATTTTAAGGGAATGGAATTCAAGCTAGGCACACTGTTTCTTTTCTTGGCCTGTATATCCACCTGGCAATCAAATTGATAAAATGGTTGCATCCTCTACATTGAGGTATTTGTGTTATTTAAATATTTGGGGCTGTTATACGGTCACACAACCTAAAAGAACAACCCTGAATTCAACCCAGAGGCTGAATGAAAGCACTGATACAGGTAAAAGTGGTGTCCAAGTAGTTTAATCAATAAAACCAGTGCTGGAAGGGAGAAAAGAAGATGCTGGCTCTGGTGACCACATCAGTGCTTCTGATGGCAGTGCCAGTGAGGAGATTCTTTTGTTTCCTTCTATCCAGAGTGGTAACTCCAGATGTCAGGATTCCACAAGTGAACCTGTTTGCTGTTGTCTTATTTTGTGACTCTCTACAAATTCTTATAGAGTAACACCATCAATAATTCATAACTGACCTGGGAAAAAAAATGAGAGGATGTTCTCCAGCCCAGTATGTAGGTGGAACTTCTGAATTGGAGACTTCTGATTGAAAAAGTTTGTAAGAAAACTGTGAAGCATGTAAAAGGATTTATTGACGAGGATTTTTTTTTTCCTCAGAAAGCATTTTAAAATATGACTATCATTCCTAAGAAAGGGAGTAAATGACAAAGTTCTGTATAGACAAGGGATAATTTTAGAGTAGCAATGGAGAATCACTGTGTGCTGCATTTTCCAGTGTGATCCCAGGTTAGTGCTGAGACAGAGTCTCATTCTGCCTAAGGTGACGATGGTCTTTTGGGAGTTAATGAGCAAGGGGATTGCTTCTCTGAGAGCAGCTCCTAGCAGATGATAGGATTAATTGAAATCAGCGTGAGAAAATTCATCATTAGTTATTCCTGAATTTATGTAGAAGAGGGAAGTCTTCCACCATTCTTTTCTGCTTAGATAACTTCCTCTCATGGTAAATTTGCACTTTTGTGTATCCATATTGCATTTGAAAAGGAATGAAGAACAGCAAATCTTTCAATGATGTAAATTTGGAGGGGTGGAAGGAGGAAGGAATCCAGCTGTCTATGACATGATTTTTTTTTTTTTTTTTTCATTTAAGATACAAATAAATATTTTTAAAGAAATAAAAACTTATGAATGCATGGTTGGATTATTGGAAGTGTTTGGGTGGCTGGTTCCTATCCAGCTGTTCTTGGCACGTGATCTCCTGGAACTGTTCCAGATGGTTCCCAGCACACGATAAGGACATCTCTGGGGCCTGCAGCAGGCACCTTCAAATTTTATTTATTTACTTTTTAAATTACTGTTTTACAAAAGTCAGCCAACTGTGCAGCTTGTGGTCAGTCACAGATGAAAATGATAATCCAATGTTTGATCGTGCTTTCCATCCTCATTCTAGGTGTTTATATTTTAATATTCTTCCTGTCTCTCTGTGTATGTCTAATGAGTGATGGACTGTAGCTTGTTTCTGGATATCAGCCTTTATGAAGAAAATCTGTTGATACTTATTCTTGGGCCTCTGATATCCTAGAAGTCACAGTGGCATGAACCTTATGACATGTGACATTTCAATTTAAATTATATACAGCAGGGCAAACCTGCAAATCTCACTGTTAGCAAAAGATGCAAAAAGTGATGATGTTAGCATTCTCAAGCAAAACCAAGGTTTTTTAAAATAAAAGGCTTTATAAAGAGTTGTAGCATTCTTGGAAATCTTTTCAATGTTGTCTGGGATTATTGTCATGTACTTGAAAGGTGTTCTGAGAAATTCTCTTACAGCCCAAAAATTGTGTGCATTTCTGAGCTTCTATACCCATGTATTCATATTGAAACCAGCTTCACTGAGTTAGCTCACAAGATTTAAAATCCTTTGCATAGCTCAAATTTGTGTATTTCAGGCCTGGTGGGGTTATCTCGATCCATTTAAAATCAATCCATTTTTTTCAATCAATACACTTAGTATTTCATTTAAAAAAAGTAAAATTTGTTTCTAAACTTTTAAATGACTTTTTTTTTCATTAAGAAAAAGAAAAGATTATGATAAAGGACTAGAAAGAGGCTGAGCTTAGACTACAATGATAATTTTCTTGTTTACCTGTCTCTATTAGAATCATAGGTTATTCTTCTGCAAGAAAATTCAGAAATAAGTAAGGAAATAGCTGTGAACTCCAATCCACTAAATCTTAGACTAAGGACCTAGGATACAGTCCACCTAGATCCTAGATTGAGTTTTAAGTCCTAGATGTATTACTTTAATATTACTGAGGCTTTGTGATTATCTGGAGCCTTGTGCAGCTTCTCTGAAGAAGTGGGAAGCTCCCTGTCTGTATAAATGTGTGCAATGCACTTCTCAGGATAAATGCGTGCTGGACACATTTGCATCAATTTTTGAGAATTTGAGGGGTTTTTGGAGTTGTTTTTTTTTCCTCAGGGAAGTTTTAGTTTGTCCAGTAGAGGGTTGGGCTAGAGTTCATAATTAGGAAATACTTTGTGATATAAGGAATGTTACTCATCCAGCATTTCCAAAAATCACTGAAATTTTGACGTGGGAGTGCTTCTGTTGAAGTTCACACTGAAAGTTAGATGTGGCTGAGTGCCTTTTTAGAGCAAGAAAATAAGCTCAGAGTGTGACAAAATCATTCTCTGAGGCCAAGTTCTAGTTCCATTGAGTGTTAGACCTTCACATATTAGAGCTCTGAAAATAAGGACTAATAATTCAGATGCATAAAAAAGGTGTTTCTTTTGTGATTTAAATAAATGCATTCGGAACCTTCAGTGATATTCTGTATTAAAAAAGATATTTATGTAGTCCCTATAGGCTCTGTCACTGAGGAATAGTATTTTAAGGAAAATGAAAAATTCAGGTAGGCTATTGAATATCCACATTATTGTAAAATTTCAGGTTTTTGGCTTTGGAACAGTTAGAGAATTTAAAAAAAAAAAAAGTTGGATTTTATTAATGTCTTGGAAAATCAGCTTATCTTACTCCTCTGAAGGTATTTGTTATGTTGTGCAGTCGAACATCTGTTCAGAGTTTTTAAATAGTTAGAGATGACAGCAGTCCTCTTCTGCTGGAGCGTCCACAAGGGTATTGAACTGCCCCAGGATCTGTGTTTACAGAACATAGGCTGCATAAAATGCAGAAGATTAGGAAGATGCAGAGGGAGTTGAAACTGTAGACAACAACATATTTCATGTATGTTTTATTTATAGTTGTGAAACCTGTGTTTACTGAGAGCTCAAGGAGTGTGCAAACAGGCAAACAAAAGTAATAAAGTACCAAACAACATGTACAGTGCTACCATAAATAGAGAAGAAAAACAAAGAGTGAGTCTTTTGTTCTCTCTACAGTTGTAGTTTTGTTTTTAAAACTTGTTCTTTGGCTTATGGAGAGGGCTCTGTCTCACACC